AACATGCCCTCGACCCCAAATTAGGGTCTTCTCCACTGTCTAGTGTATGGATGTCTCCATTTGACCTGAGCAATGGTTGCTCAAGTTCCATCATGCCAGAATCTGTCTGAAACTCACTGGCATTCACATTATAAAATTTTTAAATGAGGAGTGTATTATTTGATGAGTCATGTGGGGACTGGGGGCATTATTCCCCCTTTTTATTTTCTAAATTTTGTTTGAACTGTTGAAGCTGGACCATAACAGTAGAAGGATTTGTCTACCCTCCTTGGTTAACTATCTAGGTGAATTGGGATCACTACCTAGATTATTTGTAGATGCCCTTTAAAAAGGACATATCCATTAAGTATTTCCCAAAAAACTTCTAAAAACTACTCAAAGATTGTAAACTATGCTGTGTCCTAAATAACTTTTGAAAAGTATTTGAAGTCTGTGAGCAGTCTTTCCCAATCTAACCTGTAGAGCTCTCACTAGCTGACAAGGCCTCATTTGCATCTTAAATTTTCTGTTAAAACATTAACAGACTGGCTATATCTTTTGGCTATATCTAAAGCAATTTAGGTAGCTTTTTAACTATTTTTGAAGTATCCTTTTAATCATGTAAGCAGTTCACACTCACGCATTCACAATCACATTTCATATATTCCGGTGTGGCCACACCATACATTCAGAACATACATGCATCTTTCGGTCATCCTTTTTCCCTAGGTCATGATTAGTCTGTTGAAATGAAACTTCCTTAATTGAAATCTATGTAAAAGAACAACTCCAACCAATCCTTGAACTAAAATGGTTAAAAAGTCCTGTATGCCCCTCATCATTCCTCCATTTGAGCTACAGTCATGGGGTACAGCTGTACCTACTCCTTGTAACTCTGTAGATGGCTTTTGGCCAAAAGTTTTTAGAGATGACTCACAAAATAGAACTTAAATGTAAACAAAATTTTCCATCTTATATACCTTTGTCTTTTTCTTTACTTAATACCAGTACCTCTTTACTGTTACCAATTTTTTTTTGATTCACCCATTTTATTTTTTCCGAGACAGGGTTTCTCTGTATTCTTTGGAGGCTGTCCTGGAACTCCCTCTGTAGACCAGGCTGGCCTTGAACTCAAGAGATCTGCCTGCCTGTGTCTCCTGAGTACTGGGATTAAAGTCGTGTGCCGCCAACGCCCGGCTAGTCACCCATTTTCAATCCATCCTCCAACCCAGGATTTTCCCTCAGGCAAAAAGCCTTAAGATTTACACAATCCACCCTCCAACTGAGGGCAATCTCTGGGTTCCCCTCTTTCCCGACCTTGGTGTCAGGCTAAGGCCTAGAGATTTAATGTAATCCACCCTCCAACTGAGGGCAACTCTTAATTTTTCTTTCTTACTGGAGATTTAATCCAATCCACCCTCCAACTGAGGGCAATCTCTTAGGTTCCCCTTTCTTTCCCGACCTTCATCGGGCAAAGGCCTAGAGATTTAATCTGGTACCCCTAGCTTGGTACCCCTTTTTAATACATCCTCATAGCCTTACTTATTGGCCAACCTTTTAGATCTCTCAGTTCCCCTTTACTTTCCTGACCTCAGTGGATCAGGCGAAAGGCTGGAGATTTTTTATTTGATTTTTTATTTTAACTCTCTCTTTTTTTTTTTTTTTTTATCCCGAGATCAGGTTTCTCTCTATCCTTTTGGAGGCTATCCTGGAACTGGCTCTATAGACCAGGATGGCCTCCATCCTACCTACCTCTGCCTCCGGAGTGTTGGGATTAAAGGTGTGTGCCACCAACACCCGGCTCTCTGAAAATCATGGCAAACATGCTCCCAATCTGGGACATTTAAGCCTCCCCCAGTAATGAACCATGGACTCGCTCATTCAATCCATTTTAGAAAGTCTTCCATGGTTGTAGTCCCCCGTTCTTCAAGTAACTTTTTTACGTGATACTGTAATTTAAACTTCCAGGAACTATTTCCCCATCTGTCCCTGGCTGGCAAAAGGGATGACCCCGTCCACTTACCTCGCTTTCACATCTCGGTGGGACCTCCAATTGCTGCGCCCACTGCGCAGCCTGTGTCCGAGAATGTGCAGAGGGTGTCAGGGATTGACAACACAGAGATCCGAAGGCTCCTAAAGAAGGCTCTCCTTTATTCCTATTCTGGATGGTTATTATATACCAGAGGTGGAGGTTAGTCTTTGGACAAGGTCGAGGTCAGGGTGGTTCCCGTGGGCCAGCCCTTCTCAGGAACTTATTGCCCCGGGCATTGTATTGTTTTTAGTAAACATGTTTTTAGTAAACATTGTTTTACAGCTGCCTACTACCAGGCTGATGGGGAAGTGGGTCTCTGCTCAAGGTCTGGTGACCCCACACATGGTGGCTTCAACTATCTATTACTCAGCTCCAGAGACTCCCATGCCCTATCCTGGCCTCCATATGCAGGTGGTGAAAAAGTATACACGCAGACAAGACATTTGTACACATAAAATGAAAATAAATTAATCTTCAAAATAAAATCAAATTTGAATAAGTAAATTTTTAAAATCTTCCTTTGTTTCTGCCAGGTATTTTGTTATAGTAACAAAAAAGAGTAAGTAATCCAATCTTTCTTCTCTACTCCCTCAAACCCTCTGTCTCTCTATATCCCTGTCCCTGTCCTCTCTCTCTCTCTCTCTCTCTCTCTCTCTCTCTCTCTCTCTCTCTCTCTCTCTCTCTCTCCTCTCTCTCTCCACAAGAACCCCTTTCTTCTTTCTCAACTATCTACTTCTCACAAAAGACTTCCCCTTTCTTCTGAGAACCCCAAACCACATCCCAGATCTAGTGCATTCTGTGGTGGCTTCAACTTTCCTGTGGAACAGATGTCCCTGCCACTACAGCCACAAGACTGCCAGCTCCACCTTTGTATTAATACCTTTGTCCCCAGCCATAAAACAGTTGTGGTTGTTGTTTACCCCATTTATAAGCAGAGAGCTTCTTTCACTCACCTGAGGCCATGCATCCAGGAAGCTACAGTGCCAAGATGCAGACAGCAGCTAAATTCTTGTTCCTGGCTAAGAATTCCCAGGGCAGAGACAAGGCAAATGAGCCTCCAGCTAGGTGAGGAGGGCACACCTGTGGTCCTAATGCCAGGGAGATGTAGTCAGAGGATAAGGAGTTCAAAATCATCCACTCCTCAGCTTCATATCAAATTTGAGATTGTTAAAGAACAAGAGAGGGGCTGGAGCAATGACTCAGAGGTTAAGAACCCTGGCTGCTCTTCCAGAGGTCCTGTATCCAATTCCCAGAAGCCATGTGACAACTGTATCTCCAGCTCCAGAAGATCCAAAGCCCTCTTCTGGCCTCCAAGGATAGTGCACACATGTGTTGCACAGATAAACAAGAAAGCAAAACACTAATACACATAAAAATAAAAAATTTTAATTTTCTCAATTAAATAAGAGCACTTGCTGCTCTTGCAGAGGACCCAGGTTAGGTTCTTAGCACCAGATGGCATCTCATGACCGTCTGTAATTCCAGTTCCAGGGCATCTGATGCCCTCTTCTGACTTTCAAGAGCACCAGCATTCACATGGTACACATATATATTGCAAGCAAAAGACTCATACACAAATGAGAAGGAAGGGAGAAAGAGGGCACCTCCGTACTAGTTGGTGCACACCTATCATTCCAGCTGAGGCAGGAGGATCGCTTGAATGTTCAAGATGAGCTTGGACAACAAAGTGAGAACCTAAGCAAAGGAGGGAGAGAGAGCAAGAGCGCTCTGTGGGAGGGAGCAGAGCTCAAGTCCACCACCTTGGGCTCTGAGAGCTCCCAACACACCTGCTCCCTGACCCTTCACTGTCTGGTGAAAGAACAAGGCCGGCATCGTGCACGTCAGGTAGCAAGGAGCAGCCCAGAGCTACTGCGGTCACCAGTCACCCTTGTAATTAAAGATGAGCGTTAAGAATTTACCACCACTAAACACCTACTAAGCATGAAAGAAAAACCAGGAAGGGAAGTGAGCTGTGAGAAAGTGTACAAACTCCTCAGGGAGGCTCTCCAAGAGGACCAATAAAGCACAACCTTTACCCTGGCTACACAGCCTTGGAGAACACACCCTGAGGAAGGAGTCCAAAAGGAAAGAGAGAGAGAAATGTGTCTGAAGCTACTGCTCCCCTGAAAGCTGGGGGTGCCAAGTTTTCACCAAGAGAGCCCTATGTCTCTGCCTCCTTGCGCCCAGACTTCCCTTATCCTCCCCACCCTCAGCTCTGAAGACTGTTCCCACATCTCAGAACACCCTCCAGTGTTTACCTTCCGAGTCCCTGCCTGGCAGAATCACTGCTGAGTCCCTGAATGCCAGACAAGGACTCAGACATGACTCTCAGCCTTGCTGAAGGCAAGGCACCTTGTGTGACTGTGAGGGGACCTGGGGGTGAGAACGTGCAGCTGTAGACATCCAAACATGCCCCTTCTCTGGTCAAAAGGGAGAGATGGCTGTGTAAGATCCCAAGTTACTTTTTTTGTTTGTTTGTTTAGGTTATTTGAGACAGGATTTCTCTATGTAGCCCTGGCTGTCTTGGAACTCGCTCTGTAGACCAGGCTGGCCTCGAATTCATAGGGATTCACCTGCCTCTGCCTCCCGAGTGCTGGGATTAAAGGTGTGCATCACCATCAACTAGCTCCAAAGTTACATTTCAAGTTTTAATTGCTATGCTTAAGAGATCCATGAAACAGAAATGCCTCTGATCTGCAAGACCCTTGCCCAAGGACAGATAGTTCTTGAAATGCTGGAGGCTATTGTTTATGGGAGATAACAAGTCACATGTTTTTCACTCCCCTAGACAAGTTTGTTTGAGCCATCTGCACCTATGTGCTTGATCACATGTGGGCAGGGGGTTCACAGGTAGGAAATATGTCAGGATGTCTGCTTGCCCTTGATTGGGCCTAATGGGAGCCACTACAAACCATTTTCTGCAAACCCAGAGACGGGCCTGGCCAGAGCCCATCCACCTGGCCAGTATTTAATTAAAGCATGCTTCAAATTTGGCTTTAAATTATGGTAGTGGTTTTATTCTTGATTGGTGGGATTAACGGCTTCCCATTGGGTGAAGTCACCAATATTAAGAACTCATTTTGGCTCTTCTCTGCCGAGACACTGGGCAGTCATTATGTAGCAGGCAAAGGAGCTGCAGGTCTAGCATTCTTATTATCAGACGTACTCACAAATCATCGATTCTCATCCACAAAAACAATGGTGTTGGCAGCTCCCAAATGCTGATCATACTCCTGAAGGATCTCTCCACTTCGAATGTCCCACTGCGCAACAACAACAGAGAAGGTACAGTTGAGGTGGGACTCACAGCAAGCAGCAGACTACACTTCCCATGTTCATCAACAGCAAAGCTAAACGCTTGGGTTTGAGTCACCAGCATCATGGAAACAGTCAGGCATGGCTGGTGCACTTCTGCAAACCCAGCACAGGGGGGCAGAGACATGGATCATGGGAGCTTGCTGGCCAGTCAGTCCGGCAAACCTGAGCTGTAGGATGGTTGCATTTTATTTAGTCTTGGGGACACTAGCTCAGCCCACACGCTGACAGGAGGGTGGAGTCCAGGCAGGAGTAACTTTGCCACTCTCCAGATGATGACAATGTATAAATATATATATATATATATATATATATATATATATATATATAGTCAGAACTTCGAGCTACTGCAAACAAGGTGAGGTGATGGGAAGTCCTTCTGTATGCTGTGAACATATGTTTCTCTTATTTGTTGATGAATAAAGCTGTTTTGGCCAATGGACAGGCAGGATTTAGCCAGGCAGGAAATCCAAACAGGAATAGAGAAAGGTAGTAGGTGGAGTCAAGGAGACACCATGTAATTGCCAAGGAAGCAAGTAAGCCAAGACTACGTGGTGATACACAGATTAATAGAAATAGGTTAATAAGAGAGAGCTAGCCAAACAGAACGCTGAGCCATCGGCCAAACAGTTTATAATTAAAAAAAAAAAAGAACTCATTTCTTTTTTAAAGGTGGTGCATGCCTTTAATCCCAGCACTCGTGAGGCAGAGGCAGATTGATCTCTGAGTTTGAGGCCAGCCTGGTCTATAGAGTGAGTTCCAGGACAGCCTCCAAAGCTACAGAGAAACCCTGTCTCAGACTCCCCCACCCCCCCAAAAGAGAACTCATTTTGGGACCTGGGCATAGTGGCACACACCTGCAACTCCAGCATTTAGGAGCCTGAGGCAAGAGGATTACTGAAATTATGGACTACATAGTCATTTCCAGGCTAGCCCGAGCTACAGTGCCAAGTGTAAGAGAGCCCCAGACAATAATAATAATAATAACAATAATAAGCCCCAGAAGACTCAGTAAAGATGGTGAGGAACCTACCTGACTCCATTTTGAAAGCAGGGGCCATTATGCTGTATGGTTAAGTTTCTACTTACTTAAGAGCTGAGTTTCTGTCTGTCTCCTAGAACCTGACCTTCCCCAACTGATGACCTCAACTTATTCTTGAGAATACCCTTATCCTCCTTTACCCCTCCCTAATCACATGGTGACCACGTGGTATTTTTCTGAGGTTTTTTTTCCTGTATTTCCTTATTGCCCCATTGTCCCCTTCTGTAAAACTACTTGTGATTTTACCCCCTTAAAAGGGGTCCAAGAAATAGATTTGGGGCTGCTCTCTTTAACCCAACTTAGGAGGCAGTCTCTGGCCAGCCCTTGGGTGTACCCCAATAAAAACAAGCTTGCTTCAAATGTTGCTCAAATTGTGGTAGTAGTCTTACTCTCAATGTTGGGATTAACACTGGCTGCAGAGCAAGCCTGGGGGTCTGAGTTCATTCATCGCCAGGCCGTGAGGGAATGTTGTCTTCTGTTCTGGGAGATGCCAAGGGGTAGGGGGGCTGGAAGATCCACTGCTTGGTTATTAGGGTGGTGGACGAGATGGAGGTTGATGGGACACAGGCTTCTAGCAGGGTCCAGCAGCCACACAGTTCAACACAGGCTCCTTCCAAGGCTGAGAATTTGATTTTTTTTCTTTTTTGGTTTTTTGTTTGTTTGTTCGTGTGGTTGATTGGTTGGTTGGTTTTATTTGAGACAGGATTTCTCTGTATTGCTGTGGAGGCTGTCCTGGAACTTGCTCTGTAGACCAAGCTGGCCTCGAACTCACAAGATCCACCTGCCTATGTCTCCTGAGTACTGGGATTAAAGGTGTGCGCCACCACCACCCAGCTCTTTTTTGTTTTTTTAAGACAGGGTTTCTCTGAGTAGCCCTAGTTGTCCTGGAACTAGCTCTTCTAGCTCTTGCAGATCAGGCTGGCCTCAAATTCACAGAGATCCACCTGCCTCTGCCTCCCCAGTGCTGGGATTAAAAAGCTTGTGCCACTGTAGCCTGGCTTGAATTTAGATTTCTGAGAGAAGGTCTCACTATATGTCTATGACTTGTCTGGAACACTCTATGTAGACCAGGCTGGCCTGGAACTCAGAAATCTCCCTGCTTCTGGCTCCAGAGTGTTGGGATTAGATCTTTGTGCCACCATGCCTGGCCTTCAAGGCTGGAAGAACACCAGAGAAGTGACACTAACCATTTGGATGCCATGGTTCCCGAAAGGTCCCTCTTCTCAGAAGTGGCCCTGGAGTGGCCTATGCTTCTTGCTGTATACCCAATGTCCTGTCTCTCTCTCTCCCATAGCAGCAGTTCCCTCAGTTTTAACTAGGCATATGATTGCTTGGAAGAAAGTGATTTCCCGGGTTCCTGTGCAGCAGTTTGGGCCATGTGACTAAATTCTGTCCAATGAGATATAAGAGAAAAAGGTCCATAGTAGAAGCATATTTATCCTGGTTTCATTTTCTGCAGTTTTAGTTACAAATGGCTTATCACGGTATGAAAATATTAAATAGAATTTTTCTGAAATAAATAATTCATACCTTTTGAGTTACGCACTATTCTAAGTAACATAGTAGAATCTCATTCCACTTCTCCTTTCTAGCATACCCACATTGCATAGGCTACCATCCCATTAGTAATTAAGTAACTATCTTAGTCATCAGATGGACTGTTACAGTATCAGCTCTTGTGCTCAAATAGCACTTGCTGGGCTGGAGAGATGACACACAATCAAACAGCATTACTTTATTACTTTACTCAATAATAATGCCAAATAGTGGTGTGTGAGAGGGATGGGAGAAAGCACTCTCTCTCTCTCTCTCTCTCTCTCTCTCTCTCTCTCTCTCTCTCTCTCTCTCTCTGTCAAGACATGGTCTCATATAGCCCAAGTTGGCCTCAAAGTGACTACTTAGCTGAGGTTGATCTTCAACTCCTGATCCTTCTGCCTCCACCTTGTTGGTACTGGGACTACAGACATGGACTACTGTAGCACACATTCTAGTTGATTTTAATAGTAAAAACCCAGAGTCAGATATAGGGGTTAATGCTGAAAGATCAGAGAAGCAGAGCAGCTAGTCACTTGTCCTTACCTCTACTGAATCCTCAGACCAAAGGGGGTGACCCTGTCCCTACAAATCCTCAGACTGAATGCTGTCTCTATAAAATCTTAGGCAATGCAGTGAGCTCCTGTCTCCTCCTGCCTTATATGCCCCTCCCCGAAGGCATATCACACCTGTCTCCACCTTCCTAGTGCTGGGATTAAAGGCCTATAACTCCCAAGTACTGGGATTAAAGGTGTGAGCCACCACCACCTGGCTCTGTTTCCCTTTTAGACTGGATGGATCGATCTTGTGTAGCCCAGAATGGCCTTGAACTCACAGAAATCTGCCTGCCTCTGCCTCCCTAGTGCTGGGATTAAAGGTGTACACCACCACTGCCTGATCTCTATGGCACTCTGATCTTCAGGCAAGCTTTATTTGTTAAAATATAAACAAAATATCACATTTCCCCCTTTTTGTCTAAAAAAAAAGGTTATAACTAATATAAGTAAAACTATATTCAATAAGTACAATAGGCCGGGCGTTGGTGACGCACACCTTTAATCCCAGCACTCGGGAGGCAGAGGCAGGCGGATCTCTGTGAGTTTGAGGCCAGCCGGGTCTACAGAGCGAGTTCCAGCACAGCCTCCAAAGCCACAGAGAAACCCTGTCTCGAAAAACCAAAAAAAAAAAAAAAACAATAAGTACAATAACTATATACAAAACTATATACAATATATATAGGCAATAAATATATCAATAATGTCTAGTTCATTTGCATTTGACAAATTCAAAGAAATACTCTTTATCTATCTTGGTGAGCACAAAAGGTTGTACCTAATTCACTTTTTATTCTAATTTGCATTATCAAAAATGTCTTTTAATGTCTCTCAACCTTATACAATTTATACCTTGTTAGTGAGTTTCTTTTCTGTGTCTGGTAAACAAGGAAAATCATAACTATAACTATCTGGTCTTCAACTCCCTCAGATCTGAGAAGGAAATAGTATTGCCTGAGTATCAGGAAGTGCAAGCAAGCAACTTCCAGAAAATGTGACAAATGACAGAAACTGCTGACTGCCTGGACAGTAACCTAGGCTTCCTCTGCAACATTGGGTCATCCATCTTTGGCCTACAGGACTAGAATATTCAACAGACTTTTCTATGAAGCAGGATTTTTAAAGGACTGTCCCACTTTGTTTTAGCAAGGTTTGGCAGTCACTCACTCTCTTTTGTGTCCAATTTGGACAGCATACTGTCAGCAGATGAGGCAAGAGAATTTTATTGCCCAGTGGCTTACTTTAGCCACAAAGAAAGTAAGATCCATGTGGAGTTTCTTTGATGCCTATCTTCTTCTCTGATGTAAATTGGTACTGCCAGGAGCAGACATGTCATTAAAACATTTTAAATGCCATAGTGTGTAGATCTCTGAAGTATTTGAAAATGTCCTGTCTACCTAAAATATGTCTCTGTTTGACTTTGAACACATACCTAATATGACTACAAGTTTGATTATAATACGTGAATAACTACTAACCTGCATTTCTTTATTATCCTAAATAGTTTGTAATAATAATTTTCTTTTTTAAATCTATTTATTTATTGAATATACAGTGTTCTGCCTGAATATATGTTTGTGTGCCAGAAGAGGGCACCAGATCTCATTACAGATGGTTGTGAGCCACCATGTGGATGCTGGGAATTGAACTCAGGTCCTCTGGAAGAGTAGCCAGTGCTCTTAACCCCTAAGCCATCTCTCCACCCCCTAATAATAATTTTCAAAGACTAGAAATTTGCATTACATTGCTAAATGTACAGGTACAATGCTTTGAACAAGATTTAAAATGTATGTACAGTATGTTCTAACAAAAATAACCTTAACTGTGTACCAATATATAAAGATCCATATCAATGTAAAATATTTAAAACTAGTAGTTTCTTTTTAAAAGTAGGTTCAATAATATATCTTTTTATGTTATATCTATATCATCCCTATTTTATTTTCAGAGTAGATTCAATAATCTACCTTTTTATCCTATCATTTATCTTTTTTTAAAGGGTAGATTATCTTTTTTAAAGGGTAGATTATCTACCCTTTTATCCTATCATATCTGTATCCCCCTTTTCTCTTTTCAAAACAAGAACCTTGAATCTAATCTCCTTTGTTTACCATTTTTTCTGACCATTACTAATTAAAAACTTGTAACCAACCACCCTGAACAACGACAAATATCCACAACCCCTTGAATGACAAAAAACCACCCACCCCACCTCTTGGGAATGTGGGGTTCATGTTCTTAAATTATCTTCTTGTTGTCTGGGGCAACAGCATCTTTAGGTACTCCTGAAAAGAAAATTTTCGGTTAATTGTCAAGTCCTGAGAGAATTAGCTGTATCATTTGTTATCCAGTCTCTGGATAATGGGAAAGTGCAGGGCTTATCTCAAATCCTAGTCAGAGTAGCCTGTTAGGCAGGATCATCTCAGCTAGCCACCTCAAAATTGTTCTGAGAAGGTCGTAGTCCAAAGCCAATATTTAAGTGGTGTTTTCAGCCTAGTGCTGTGATCATAGGCTTGGTAGAATTGTCATTGTGGGATCCCATCATCCTTAGGAGACTTTGGAGATCACATTACATCAGAGTATTACTTTTCTTGGTAATTTTTCCAGGTAGTTCCTCCTTCTTCTTTGGATGCTTATTTGTCTTTAAATTCCTCAAGATGGTTGTTTTTATTTTACTGAAAAGACAAAAACAAAACCTCACCCCAACCCTAACCTTGGGGAGGTTCCAAATCTAATATTTGTCAATTTTGGTTTCTCCTGAAATTTTTCTTTTATCTTCTAAAGCTGTTCTATCATCCAGAGTAGTATGGTTTTTTACAATAGGCATTAGGTTCTTTAATTGTTCTGGGAAGGAGTATCCTCCATGGCTACAGGAAATAGCTGAACTGAATTTGACATGAGGGCCTTCGAGAGGCTCCTCAAGGAGTTTTCCAACAACAAAGGATTGCCTTGAATGTCCCTTTTTGATCTACATTCATTAGTCCAATGCTTGCCTTTGCCACACCT